GAGCTTTTGCCCGCCCCAGAGTGTCCAGACCTTGACAGGGCTGTCCCCACCCCAGGGCTGTCCCCACGTCGCTGCCGATTCTGCTTTTGGGGACCCCCCACCCCCACCCCCCCCTCCCTTGGTGACAGAGGAGAGCTGGTGGGGGAGGACCTGCACGAGGGCCTCGGTGACAGGTTTTGGGGCACTGTGGGTTTGCACCAAGGGGGTGGGACACCCCACCACAGGGTCGGGGACCTCGGTGCACCCCACAGAGCAGCCAGCCCCACATGGGGCTGCCGAAAACCCTCACCCTGTGGAGATGCAGCCACCCAGTGAGCCCTTCCATGGGCTGCAGTTTTGCAGCCACCGAAGGATGGGGCTTCCTGGGCACCCCGAGACCCCATCGCAGGGCTGGGGGCACCAGGAGCAGCCCAGGGGACCCAACCCTGCTCCCCTGTCCCCTGGGGCAGGAGGATAAGCCAGTGCCCAGCGGCAGGAGCTGCCCGGACACGTGCATGGGGGAGAGACGAGGCAGACCAGAGGCAGGCGTGCAGGAGATGGTTTATTGGAGACGCACAGAGGCTTTGGTGATATGTGACCCCGTCCCTTGGAATGGGGGGGCTGCCTGGCCCCCTCACCCCTTGCCCCATCCCGGCCTCTCACCTCCTCCCGCTGCAGCTCCAGCCCTCTGGAATGGTGGGTTTGGAGCCGGTGCATGCCAGGCTGCCCTCCCCCACGTAAACCACGAAGAGATGCCGAAGGGACTGGATTGGGGCGGGGGGCAGGTTGGGGCTGGTCCCTGGCTCCGTGGGGGCCGTTCAGTTCTTGGGCTCTTCACCAGCTTCGCCGCCGTCTTCTCCGGCGCACTCGGCTGTCCATAGCGTGAGGTTGTCCCTGAGCAGCTGCATGATGAGGGTGCTGTCCTTGTAGGAGTCTTCGCTGAGCGTGTGCAGGTCCCCCATGGCCTCGTCGAAGGTGGTCTTGGCCAGGGAGATGGCCTGGTCGGGAGCGTTGGCGATCTCGTAGTGGAAGACGGAGAAGTTGAGGGCCAGCCCCAGGCGGATGGGGTTCGTGGGCTGCATCTCCTTTTTGCTGATGTCCATGGCCTCTTGGTAGGCTTCCTGGGCGTTGTCTATCGTCTTCTTGCGGTCGTCCCCAGTGGCCACCTCAGCCAGGTATCGGAAGTAGTCACCCTTCATCTTCAGGTAGAAGACCTTGCTCTCAGCATCGCTTGCCTTCTTGATGAGATACTTGTCCAACAAGGCCAGGACGTTCTTGCAGACGCTGTTCAGCTCCCTTTCCACCTTCTCCCGGTACTCGTTCACCAGCTGCGCTTTGTCGTCCCCCTCTTCAGTTTTGTGCTCAATGCTGGAGATGACTCTCCACGCCGAGCGCTGGCACCCCACCACATTCTTGTAGGCGACGGAGAGGAGGTTGCGTTCCTCGTTGGACAACTCGTCCCCGTGCTCCACCACTGCCTTCATGAAGTCTGCCATGTCCTCATAGCGCTCAGCCTGTTCGGCCAGCTTGGCCTTCTGCACTTGGTGGTTTCTTGCCATGGCTGGGACACGGGTGCAGGGCAGACGCTTGGGCGAGGAGCGGGGCTGGGAGCCGTCGGAGCCTCTGCTGAGCCCCGCTGCCGGGATTCGTTTTTGGCTGAGCGTCGGAGCCTCGAGCAAGAACGGGAGGAGCCAGTGAGGCCGAAGGAGTGTCCTCCTCCTCCTCCTCTGCTTCCTCCCCGCTGAGCCTGGCCTTAAAAGGAAAATTGCTGTGAATCATTGCCCGCAGGCGGTGGGCGCTGGGGAAGGGGCAAGGGGGGTGGCCAACGCCCTGCCCTCCCCATGCATCCCCGGGGAGGGCTCAGCGGTGAGCGCAGCACCCATGGGTGCCCCAGAGGGTCTCCCCGCAGCCATCTCAGGACAGAGGGTGACGCCCATCCTGCTGCTAAAAGTGCTTGGAAGGGGGACAGAGGGTGGGTTATCGTTTGGGGGGGATATGCAGAGACGCAGCAGCATTCAGCTCTTCCTACCCCCACCCCGGAGAAAGGGGCCACGGGGTGTGTCTGGTCGTAAAAGTGGGTTCCTCCCCCCCCCCCCCCCGAAAATCATATCACTGTCGTTTTTATATGGTGATTAACTTTGCTGGTAATTGCAAGGGCTTGACGGGCTGGTATTTATTCCCACAGGTGGGGAAACCGAGGCAGAGGAGAGGCTCAGCAACTTGCCCAAGCACAGCGGGAGGGACTGCCCCAAAGCAGGGCACGATTGCCCCGTGCCTTTGAGCTGCCGCGTGGTGGGACCGGCCTGACCCCCTCCCAAAAAAAACCTCCCATAGTGGGGAAACCACTGTCAGTGCGAGCCTGGATCCGGCCAGCACCAGGGAGACACCCCCCCCTCCCTGTTGAAATTGGGGCTCCCCCACCGCTCGCCTCCATTTCCCCATCCCAGCTTCCCGCCAGGGACTTTTCTCATCTCTCAAGTTGTAATTGAAGAGGTTTGGGGGTGGGTTTTTTTGGTTTTTTTAATTTTTAATTTTTTTTTTTTTTTTTTTTCCACACAAGCTGGCTGGTGGTGCTGGGCTGCCGGTGGCAACGCGCCGCCCCGATTAGGATCTGTGCTTCGTGTTGCGCTGCAGTTTCACTCTCAACCTGCCGAAGCTTGTTGCCACACGCCGGGCGCTGGCAGCTCCTCCGCGTGCTG